GAGAGAGAGAGAGAGAGAGAGAGAGAGAGAGAGAGAGAGAGAGAGAGAAAGTGAGTGAGTGTGAGAGTGACTGAGAGACTGAGAGACTGAGAGACTGAGTGACTGAGTGAGTGAGTGAGTGAGAGAGTGAGTGAGTGCGAGGGATGGTGGAGGGGGCAGGAGAGAGTGAGAGAGTGTGAGAGCGGCGAAGAGGGTGGGGGAGGGGGGAAGCAGTCTGCATGGCAGAAAGCGAGATACCTTCGGATCAGTTGAGATACGGTAAAAAGAATAGAAGGTAAAATTGTCCTTGACCTATTATTTTTTTTTTTTTTTTTTTTTCAAAGTCAGAGCTTTTTTACGGCCACATCCTACTGATCGCGGAGAACAATCTTGCAGACAATAGTAAAAGTGTTTTTGAATTATTTATGCATTTTGAGGTAAGAAACAAACATATAAGTTTGTTTCTTGCCTGAAAAAAAGAGAGAAAAATCATATAATTTTGCACACAGTTCACCATGGCATTATAAGTGCGAGGGTGGCCTTTGTAAGAAGGAATATATCACAGAGGAAGTAACAGCACCTACTTCGTTGGAAGTATGCGAATTATTTTGTGGCGCATCCAGTTCGTTGTGGCCAAAACCAACTGGTCACTTTTCGTTGAGCAGAACCATGGTCCAGGTTGATCCTGACAAAATTTCATTAGCTAACATACAAACTGGGACACAAATTGAATATCTCCTTGAAAAAAATATAGCCTGTTTGAGAAACAGTGTGATGAATTTTAACGGCAAATTAGTAAACACTGGTGGCTTAGAAATGCGTATTCGGTGCATCGGTTATGACGATACTAACAACATTAAATTAACTTTGGACACAGATGAAAGTTACAGTTTAACTGTAACACAGCTGGATAAATCGGTGAGCCTGCTAATCCTTTTACATTTTTCGTACTTTTCTTCTTTCGATATTATCTCATGTACATTTATCGTTAACAACTATCATTTACTGGAGAGAAAAGGAGGAAGGAAAAAAGGAGAGGAAGTAGGAAAATAAAAGTTATTGCACATGAGAAAGTAGTAAAAGGTGGGATAAAATAGAAAGAGAAGGAAAGGTCGCATGGAGACTGTTATTTTTCTGCCATTTAAGGTTTCACGCGAAGGTTGTTTGACATTTCGGGACCGGTTCTAAATTTTGTTCCTCAATGAACTTGAATCATTAACATTTAGTTTTTAATAAGGGAAAGGGGAAAACAAATGTATCGTAAGCGTGACTAGCGATTTTTAATAAGAAGCAGATTGGTTGAAACGACTTCTTTTTTCGTTTTTATGTTCCTCTTTTTATTTTTATGATATCTAGCTATTGGAAGTGACTATTGCGGCGAAATCATATTTCGGTGCACGACATGCTTTAGAAACATTGAGTCAAATGATTGTTTTTGATGATTTACGGAATGAGATTCAGATTCCGAACGAAATTTCGATTATCGATGGGCCCGTGTACCCTTACCGTGGACTATTATTGGATACGAGCCGGAATTTTATCCGTAAGGCAACGATATTGCGAACAATCGATGGTATGGCCATGTCGAAATTAAATACTTTGCATTGGCACATTATTGACTCGCACAGTTTTCCCTATGTTAGCAAAACGTGGCCGAAATTTTCGAAATTCGGTTCTTACGGGGCTGACAAGGTTTACACTCAAAAAGATGTGAAAGATATCGTTGAATATGGACTTATTCATGGCATTAGAGTACTACCAGAGTTTGATGCCCCTGCTCACGTAGGAGAAGGATGGCAATGGGTAATTGGTTTTTTCTTTATTTTCTTTTACTCTATTTATTTATGCAAAAGCGAAACATTGACGAATGGAAAAGGGGAAGCAAGAGGGATAAGAAGCAGGAAGAAAGTTAAACTTTGACATGTTTACCGTTTTCAGACGGGAGACAATACAGTCGTATGTTTCAAAGCGGAACCCTGGAAAAATTATTGCGTTGAACCACCTTGTGGTCAGTTGAATCCAACAAATGAAAAAGTATATGAAATTCTTGAAGGAATATATAAAGATATGATGAAAGATTTTCAACCAGACCTGTTTCACATGGGTGGCGATGAAGTGAATATAAATTGTTGGAACACTTCGGTTGCTATTGCGAGCTGGATACAAACTGTTAAAGGTTGGAATTTGTCAGAATCTAGTTTCTATAAGCTTTGGGATTATTTTCAAACAAAAGCAATAGAGAAATTGAAAATCGCTAATGACGGAGAGGAAATACCCGTGATTTTGTGGACTAGTGGTTTAACCAACGAAGAAAATATTAAATATTTGGATCCTTTAAAATATATAATTCAAATCTGGACAACCAAAGATGATCCTACTGTTGATAGATTGTTGCGAAATAATTTT